ACCGGGACCGGGACCCGAGGCGGCAGCCCCCAACCCGGCGGCGGTGCGAAACTCAGCAATTCCCCTTTTTTGTCATTTTTCCTACCACGACTACCCTGGTAACAAAAAATTAATATAATCTACCTTGAAATAAACACAGCCTGCTTTCTTAACCCAAAGATAAAGCGCCCTGAATCTCACCAGGATGTCTGGGATTTCCCTGGAAAACACATACACATGGATGCCATGCAAAGGCAGGCGAGGAGGACTGCGGGGAAGAGCCTCTGCCCCTCCCCGCACTAGCACTCACAGCACCCCGAAGGGCTCGTCCTCCCTCAGTTCCCCTCTCGGGTGTGAAACATGCCCTGGGCCTGCCCCGGTTTCAGTTTGTCCCATCTTCAGTCAGCTTTTCTTTTTTCTCTCAAATATTTACACATACATATGTTACCGAAAACTCGGAATAAAGAACTTATCGACACCAATGTGATGCAGATAAGCAGACAGCCCTTTACTGATGGCCGGGTGCGTGTGGGTGCTCTGACTAACAACGCACACCATGCACCAAAAATCATACAGCTTATATAGAACTTACTCTACATATTCATTAAGTAATCGTACATAAACATACTATTTCCTAGAAATCATTAACATATCCTCCTCCTATTTCTGATTCTGCGCAGTAAAGGTTAGAAACTTCTAGAAATGGGTCTGGGGTGTAATATGGGTAGGTGGTCCATGAGTTGGTGGTCACGATCTCCCCATTCCGGAATTACCTTTTGCTTAAGTTCACTGTTTCTTGGCAGGTACCTACAAGCTGTTACAGTCGGCTTTCCTCAGTTCCCATTAATTCTGGGTCCTGACATCTCTATGCATTCTTCTAGGGACTTATACAATACCCCCGAATCATACAGTACTTCTGTAAATAAACACTATACCTACTACAAATCACCTTAAATCTTAAACTTATTGTCTAAGTTTCAAAATGTTCCTACTGGATGATTTTGACCAATCCTTCAGCCTTGGTACAGGGCTATACAAAGAAGTTTGTAGTACCATTCAGTTGCTGGTGCAGAGTGCAATAAATGTAACATATAATTTCTACTAAAATATCTCTCCTAACTCTATAATCATATTAGAATCAAACACAATTAATTCTAATTAATGGCAGAATTAGTAACATATATTGTACACGTACAGACGTACACAGACATATATAAGCACGCATCTCTTAACTATTTCCTCCCTTTAATACAGCTGTGGGGTTTCCATAGAAAGAGAGCAGTTACCACATGGAAAACACCCCTCAAGCTCTGGGGCTGCAAAACTGCTGCAGATGATACTTGCTGATTCCTGCTCTTGAAACATGAAAGACATTAGTTTTGTTGGTGCACCTGTTTGGTTTTTTTTTTTAGAACAGCCCATTTCTATCCCCAGAAATATATTTTGCACAAAGATTGCAAAATCACCACTTGCTCAATGTAGCTCATTGCAAATTCGTTGTTTTTTTCCTTCTCAAATACCCCAAAATTATACAGGACTGCATCAAGGCTTTTCTTTCTACAGCCTTTGAAAACCAAAGCCATGCACCTTTGCTTTTTAGAAAGTCACTTTGTCCCTGTGCCATTGCTTGGGCTGACTGTGGGAGATGCCCACGCAGCCTCTGCGGGTGCCGGCTCCCCAGATGGCAGGGTCACCTCCCCACCCAGCCTCAGCTCGGGCCAGGCCAGCGCCACGGCCGTGGGCAGCACAGCCTCTGTGAGCAACGACGGGGACGGGTCTCCTTCGCTCCCCTTCAGACTCCAGGGCAGACTCCAGAGATCTCATCTAATTGCATGATTCATTTTATTTTATCTTCTCAAAATGTAATCTTCTGTTATTCGAGTTTTGCCCAACCACAGCTCCAGGTGACATCATGTTTCAAGTGCTTTCCTCATTGCTTGTACACACACACACTCCTCCATGACCGAGGTGACAGGATTGCAGCTCGCTTGTTAGCAGAACCAGTTCATGCCAGCTGAGGAGGGAGGCTGCCCGCTCTGGCTTGGTTATATGTTTATATTGTTTGCTTGCAGGAATTATTCATTGTTTGCTTCTGGTTTTGTTTTTTAATGGCTGTATAATTTATTAGGTGTGCTCATATATATCTGGGAAGCTTTTCTGTTCTTCCTCTCGTTCTCGGATATGTGAAACATCCACAAGTGTGGAATGTCAATTAAAAATTGCATTTATATTGCTTCATTCCTTCTCCATAGACTTCAATAGAGCTGGATGAGTTCACTCCATAGTTCCTTCCTGGTTATTTTCATTGTATGACAGAAAGAGTATTCAAAACAATTAAATTCTTATTTTACCCACCTATATGATGAAGCATACAAGAGTTTTTAACATGTTAATTTGAAGAGTAAAATTACAGCCCTGACAGTGCGGCTGAGAGTTTTGCTGCTGATGCCAGTGGGATAGGAGCTTATCCAGAGGCACAGCATAAAGCAGGGAAGCAGGGCCAGCACTCTGTAGGTATTTTAAAACATCTCTTTGTCAACCACAAGTCAATATTTATCTGATCTGCCTACATACTTGTGTCTCCCCATTGTCATTATAATACTTCCCAAGTATTAAAATAGAACTAACAATTCATAGCCAGCTTCTACCTATTCTTCTTCAGGGAAACAGGTTAGTGGGAGTGTGCCTCAGTGAGGATGTCAACGTTCAGCTGATAAGTATTCAGATAACAGATTTTTTTTCTAGACTTACTCTAAACTTAATAGAGCCCCCCCTTCCCCACCAAAAAATTAAAAGTGAGGGATTTCTACTTACTGTTCATTTTCATCTGCCTCGTCCATGTGTTTGAGCACTCCAGCTCTTGGTCTGCCTTTATTCACTAAGGTTTCCAAGAAAGCCATAGAGGGTGTGGGGGGAATCTACTTTTAAGAATTTACCATTTTCTTGACATTATCTTAATACAGCTGTGACTTCAGATTGCATTAGTAAATTATTTTATCAGAGGCATTCACACACAACGATTTCATCCAGTTTTATCCCCATATTTCCTTGCTTGACTAGCAAAGCATTAGATAAAGCCAGGCCTGAGGCCTTCCTGCTGCTATGTGGAACAGGGAACACCAGGCTAAGCAAGCCCTCTTGCCTTACAGGGGAATCAACACCAGACCCAAACCACTGGGGAAGGGGAGAAAAAGCAAGGCCAAAATTGTAGTGTCATTAAAAAAGAAAAAAAAAAATGCAAACTGGGTTTGAAGCATGCCAGATCTGAAGGAACTTTAAGCATCCGCTAACTCAAGACCACGGTGGCCCTGTGTGGAAAGGATGGTGCCTGCCGTTCATAGCTTAGAAATGAGCTGACCCTAATTAGTTTGGAAGTGTGGGGGAATTTTACAAAGGTGCTCGGGGGCCCAGGGGTCCAAATACCCAGCAAAAGGGATTTGTGGGAACACCTGGAGAGGCAAGATACCTAACTCTCATTGAATCAACATGAGCAATTATAAGTGGTACATAAGCTGATGATGAAAAGTCTGTGACCCCTTTTCTTCTAAGGAAAGTGAAAGGATTTGTGAAAGTTATGATTCTAATATAGACTGATTTCTGGAATGAAAGAAACATCTCATGGTCAGTTTAGGACACAAAGAAAACTCATTGATGGCTTTTGGACATGTTCTTAGGGAGATTAATGATCAATCAGTCTGCCTCTACCACCTCCCCTCAACCAATTTTTGAATCATTTGGCAAATTCAAAGCACATCCATCACAGGAGCAGAGGTTTCCCCAGGTTTGCACACCTGTGGTTTTAGGGAGCAGCAGAATAGCGGACAGAGACACAATGTGGGCTGCCTGATGGTCCTACTCAGGACATGCTTATTTCCAGGCATACTGCTGACAACTCCACCTCTTGTCTATCCAGTACCTAACTGATATGGGCACGGCTGAAAGATACAGCAGCATGGTTTTGGGGGGAAAAGGGAAAAAGAGATACTTCCAGGATGGAACAGAGGATTGTAGGAATGACTGGAGCACATCAATGTTTGGGCCACAAAGAGGATGGAGGGTTTGAGGAGAAAACTGAGGGCAGAAGACTGACCATTGCAGTAGAAACTGCCTAGTAATGTGGAATAAAAATCTATAGGAAGCTTGTTTTATCATTTGTTCTGCTCATGGAACAACTTGTTTATTCTTGCTCAAAGCAAGAGTATGAATCATTTCTCTTCTATTCCTCTTATAGAACAATGCTTAATCACCTTTTCCTGAGACCTACCTCACATTACTTTTAAAGGCCAAGAAAAATACCCAGCATTTGGCTTCTTGAAGGATTTGCTTTAGGGAAAAAAAAAAAAAAACAATAATTCAAGAACTGTCCCACACTTTGTATGGCCTGTACAGATTTTCTGACATTTAGAAAAGGCAGTTCTCTGTAAAACCAGTGGAAGCAACATCAGTGCTAAGGACTAGATGAGTAGCATTCTGAGAGTGTTTAAAATAAGTTAGTTATAATCTGCCTAGCTGGAAAAAAAAAAAAAAAAAGTTTTTAAAACTTTAACTGGTGAAACTACCAAAATATCTCACAAATAGTTGGTCAGCATTCCACTACATTTTCACAAGGGAAGAAAATCACCTCTGGGCTGAGGATAAGTGTGAAAGATGAGAATACAAAGGATAACTTTTGAGAAAGCTGAAAATAGTGCCTTGCGCTGAAAGCATTTCCTCAACAACGGGCATCACGGTCATGATGGTGGATAATTTTGCCTCCAGCATCAACAAAGCTGAGAGTGAAGTACAAATTCCACAACCGGGGGTGGATAACGATGCTATGAGAACACAGCTCCCTTTTCGGATGCCAGTGTGAGTCTGCAATCCTGACAGCCAGACAAGTCTTGTTTTGACTTGTAAGCCGAGGGAATAGGTCTGGAGGAGCAAATACAAGCACAACTTTTACCATCGTTCTACAGACAAAAAACCACATTTCACTGCAGAAGATCGTACTTAGACTTACTTCAGCTGATAGACGTGGTGGTGGGTTATTAGTTATACAGACAAATGTCAGAACTGCAGTTTTCCAAACAAAAAGCTGCTGAGAGGACATGAACAAAGACAAACTGAAACCTCTGCTGAAACTGCCATAGAGTAGGCACAGAGCCACTGCATTATGAGATGTCTCTGGTACCAGGGGAAAGGACTTATTAGTATCTATAATACCTGGAGGGGTGATAAAGATTTGGTAGGGTAGAGCTGCAAACACTAGCATGCTGTGACCTGTGACCACAGAGCCTGATGGTGGGATGTGGGCTGTGCCAGAGGGAGGGCTGGGACTCCACTGACAGTTTTGCTGCAATCCCTCCTCACTGTTTGAAGACACTTAAGGCTAGGCACAGAAATCCTATGGCCATGCAGTGCAGGCAGGAATCCCAGCAACTCATCGGTGTCATGGCACATCATACTTAAACAGGTTTTGAACAAATTTTTTTTCCCAGCTTCATCCCATATGTTTTCATTATCCTCAGTCATTTTCTCAAAGTACTTAGAGCCCAACACTTCCTTTCATCTGCCTTGGCCATTTTTTGGTAATTTGCATTTTTCACTGTTTATATTGCGAAAGAACCCATTAAAGTTTGTATGTTTTAATACCAAAAGTTCTGAATACTCTTTTTATAAGATTATTGCATTTTTATTTTATTTAGTTGACATGTTACTGAACTGTTACTGTTACTTTGGATCTAACACTTTTGTACTCGATGTCAGACCCAACCACCCACTAACCTCACAGGGAACAAAATGGAGCTTTCTCAGCTTAGCTGGAAGAACCGAAGGTTTTCAAGTATGGTGAAGAGATGGCAAAGTTCTGTAAAAGGTGCTCTTAGAAACCAGTGCATGAGAGACTATGGTTTTCACAGCACTTGAATATTTTGCTGTTGATTTAATGCGTATCACAGTTTAAGTAAATTTGATTTTGAATAAATTTTCTCAGAAAAAAAAAAAATTTGCAACAGGTCAATAAAGAAAGAATTACAAAGTTTCATCAGGCTTTGCTCTGAAGCAGTAGGAATGGCCTTGTTTGTGATGTAAAGCGACGCATAAATACAATTCGCATTGAATCTCTCCTAGATTTGATCTCCATTTGAGACCTAACAACATAAAACCAGCTTGATTTGGCACAACAGGAGTCCACACAGCTGTAACGGGTCTCAAGCCTGCATGTTTTGTATGCCTCTTCTGACTATGAGAAATGCTTTCTATGCAAAATCCTTGTTAGGAGCAGTATAGCAAGATTGTAACAGGTTTCTGAATACCTCTGCAGCCTTGAACACACTGAATGCATAGTCTGTGCACAGATGGCCTTAAAAATGTAAAGCTTCAGCACACAGTATGTGCTTAATATATCAGTCCTTTAGGGTCCAAACTGCTCATCACCTCCCATAACTTTAGGCAAAAGAAAAAATGGAATCGTAGACCCATGTTTTTATAGTTGTCACATAATTTTATTATAAAATCTTTATTATATATACAGTTATATTTTCAGTTTTAGAGAACGTAAGTGCAAAAGCAAAGTCAATTTTAGAACTTGGAAACATGGAAGCATCTCCGAAAACTGCAAGAAAGAGAATGTGCTGAAGCTGCAGCTGCTGTCTTGGGAAGGAATAATTAACTTTTCTGTTTGCAGTGTAAGTAACCAGATAATGCTATGTAATTGCTTATGATTTGCATTGTTTGGAATGGTATTGCTAATTTTCAGTGTTGATTAGCATGTCATTTAAATAATTATTCTGTACCATATCACTTGGACACTTCAATTGCACGCACATCTACTGTGAAATTCCTAGAGGTGTTCTCAACATTTCTGGTTATTTGTAGGCTATACCATACCTTGGCTGTTTCAGTGTTTTGGGAAGTAACAGTGGAAGAAAAATTAATAATGCTGTGTTTAACTATCAGACTTAACCCCTAATAATTTTTAAAAGCTTGACTGTCGTAAGAGTTGACCTGTCTGATTTTATTTACAATACCATACACTAGACATCCTGAAAAAAATATTATTGACTCAGCAGCAGTCTAAGCTTATAATGGTGAAAATTTCTCTTTATCTGGGTTGAGTGTTACCTCAATGCACCTGAAACCATGGAAAGGGTTTCTAGCACTTTTTTTACAGGCGCTCCCTTGTCTGGTGCACCTCTGCTTACAGCAGTCAGTGCCTGGACTGAAGAGATGACACAAAGACAAGGGAATTCAGCAGCAACTGTAAATCACCCCTGCAAAAGCACCTGGGAGGGTCTTTGCTAGCAGTGACCAGCTCCTAGATCGTTATAATCAGCTCTGGAAATGGTCAATCTTTGCTACAGACCATGGGCACTGCTGGAAGGGTGCAGCTGATCAAACATCCTTTCTCTTTGCTCGTTTTATTCTGAGACATCTCCTGGTGTGCTCTCTTGAATAAATCCTCATTCAGCATGTCAAAAACGTGTCCACATGACAGTTCTTGAGTAATTATTATCAAATACATTTTAATACCCTACTCTTTACAATTTCCTTGCCTTTCAAGAAAGCTATTATTTCTAGAAAGGTGGGTTTTGCTCCAAGCCCATGTGCACAGAAGGAACTGAACACTGCATGTGGTCTTTAAGGAGTCAGCTGCTAATGGGCATCTCACACCCAGCATGTATAAAACTGAGCAAAAACTGTTGGAAAAAAGCTGCTGATTTCAATCACATACCTTTTCTGGAGGAAAAGTAATTGACACTGCTGCTGGGGAGCAGCAGCTTCTCTTGCCCTGGCAGGGACCACTTCCAAACACCCTCTGTACACTGCATGTTTTTTCATGGTTCTTCATCCTCTTCAGAGCAGAAGATGGATTTGAAAGCCTGACCCTTGATAGCTTCTCCTTAGTGACACCTGACATGCATGAAACCTCCTGACATAATTTTTGAAGCTGCAGCATTATGTTTCTAAATGTTTACCGCTGCAGTGTGACAGCATGAGTCACTGCTGTCAAACACTTGTTAGGAATGCAACAGACTGAGGGTATTATTCTTTCCTCTGTTTCTTTGCAGTGTGGAGCTGGGCATTGGCAGTGAAGGTTAACCTGGCCATCAGGATTGTTCCATCCCTGCAGAGACTCAGTCAACAAAAAGCATCCTGAGAAGCACAACAGTGACTTTTGCTGGGAGCTGCTGACTTATTAATTTTTTTTCCAGGTAATTTATGAGTTTCTGTTTGGGAGTTAACAGTCCAGAGAAGGATCGGTGGGAGTGAAAAATGAGCAACGAAGTGGATTGAGGCTAATGCAGCCAGTTCATATATTTATTTTATCTTTAGTTCACAGATTTATTTGTTTGTGTGCATGAACTTTGGGTAAATAATGCTTTTTAAACCATTAAAAATATATACTCAGTCAATTCATTCAACTATTAAGAACTTTGAAATTCTCGACTTTTTATTCTCCTGCCACCCACATTACAGATGTCATCCTAAAACCATAAATAGCTCTTGGGTTTTTTTGCTTTATTTCTACTATTTACATGACAAACCTTAATGTCATTGATCCTATTTTAAAGACAGCAAAAAATCCCACATCCATATGTCAACGTTTTAACATTGATTGACTGGCAGTAAACCGAGGATACATATGTACATTTTTTATGGTATAGTAGACAGAAACAATCATTGGGAAGTCTGATAGTGTTTGCCTTGATTCACTAGAAATAATATCAGTCATCTACTTCAAACACTGGAAGCTATGAAATTAACTGTACGGGGCAGTATGGAAACACCTTTTATATTCTGGGAATTTGCCCTGATTCTAGAAATTAATACTCAGCTACTGATGAAGCAAAGGTACTGCTATTCTTACATACAGATAAGTACAGTTGAGATTACTATTTCTTTCAGGTGTGACCAGCCTATTTCCAGAGCCTCAGGCTGTCCTGCCCTTGCTTTCTGAAGCAGTTTGTAACCCCTTAAAAATGTGACCATTTGCAGACCGTGGTAAGGAAGGAAGGAAAAGGGATTCATAAGGAAGACAGAAATATAGGGTTTACAAAACCTCTTTGTGGAGACATTACTGAATTCAGATGCAAGCAGACTGAGGAGATGGCTTGCCTCGGCGGCTCCCTCAAGCCTCTTCAGAATGGAGTCATAACTGATCCTTCACCTCTAGTAACTCATAGTAGGACTGATATTCTACTACGCCTCACGGTCAGAGCAAACATTTTGCTCTTGAGATGTGTTTAAATACCACCAAATGGCAGGAAGTTTCAATATTTTTTGCAGGAGAGAAAGATGGCCATACTTTGTCATCTCCCTTTAAAGCAAACTCTGTCAACAGTCTGTACAGCTATTTTACTAATCCTTATTTTAGTAAAAATATTTACTCTGCATCAAATTGTTAAATATCAGATGGTATCCAAGAGGCAACTGATCACACCTGACAAGAGCTGCTGTTCTCTCTGACCGGGAGAGTGACTGTTGTAGCAGCATTTACAGTGCTGCAGCCTGAACTGTGGCCCTTGCATGGACACCATGCAAGTCAACAAGCCTCGAGACATCCATTGAGTGTTTTAGAGAAGACACATATGCCCACCCTGTTATCTCTGTATGTTTGTGCTCATTTGGGGAATATGTATTCTTTTGAAAGACAATGGCAGCACCTACAGATCTTTTACCTATGTTTGTTGACCATCCCCCATGGATCATCCATCTGGCTGGCAGCTTTCCTGGAAATGGCTGAAGAAAGAATCATGTTTTAACGCTCTAGCAGAGCGGGAGTTGAGAGAAGTTGCATTCTTTGGGTGCTTTCTTGCATCGGCATTTAAAAATTCAAACCACAACTATAACTCAATGTACATGCTTCTAGCAGAATTAATATAAAAACTTTGGATGAGCTTCTGAAATCTCATTTGAAGCCTCAGACAGTCAAAGAGAGAAGACTATAGAAATAAATAAAACAAAAATATTGATCTAAATACACTGAGTAAAAATATTTCTCTGAGATTACAGGATGAGGTTTTTGAGGGCAGAAGTGTTTCCAGAGACCTGAAGTGGCACAAAGAAAATTTCTCCCAAATACGGTATTTTTCTCTCTACACAAAAACGTCAGTATAGATCACATCTCCCAAAATGACATATATGATGATTTCTACTATGAAGAATGAATTGCCTCTTCTGCTGTTGATAAAATCATCCAAAGGTCTCTTTTAAAGTAGCTGCCAAACCGAGCTTGTTTTTCACTGATTTTATAATCTGCATATGAAAGAGTTGATCTGGAATGGGACCTCAACCTGGCTCCTGGTTATATTCCCTCAGGTCTAGAAGTGGAAAGATTACGCTCGCAGGGCCTGATTCTGTACTTACTAAGGAAGGTGCAGCTAGGGCAACTGCAATGAATCCAGTGGAATTCTTCCAAACTGGCATTCACTAGTGGGAGTACAAATTTAGTCCACATTTTTGTGGGGGAAAACAATTATGAACAAAAAAATGGCAATTTAATCCATTTTCAATTATTCTTACTCATAAAACTCAGGAACCATATACTCTTCAATTAAAGTAATTTGGATTTCAAATTAGGATGAAGGAATCTCTTTCTTGACTGAGCTAGAACCATATTTTTTGCTAATTGAAGAGTTTTCTCTCCAAATGTAACATCCTGAGCTCTCACCTCCATCAGAAAGACAGCCCAACTGTTAGTTGGTTTTGTTCCAAAATATTTAATATCTAATCAACCCATTAGAAACAAGCTTCTCATCTTCCCTTCCAATATTATGAAAATGAGTGGGCCAGCAGAACAGACTATGCAGCGAAGTATGCCAAGTACCAAATCAGATATCCCTTTCCTTCTAGAGTTACAGTCACCCTTGGCAGGGTGAGTTTAGAAGTTGGCAGCATCCCTTTTGGCAGTCTCCATCCCCTTGTAATGCTGGAGATCCGTTTGCTGTGTCTGAGTTGCTTGGCTTGTTTGGGGCAGCCAGTTAGACTGCTATTGTATCCCCTCTAAGCTGCCTCTTCAGGAGGTTGTGGAGCCCTGGTTCGTTGGGTTTCCTTCATAAGGAAGCTCTTCCCAGTCCCTGGTCCCCTTGCTCTTCCCTGAACATCTTCATTCCTAGAGAAGAAGCACACAGTCCTAGAGAAGAAGTGCACACAGTGCTCTGTACATGACTGATACAGTGGCAAAACAATGCTTTCTCTTTTCATCTATAATTGTTCCTAATTTACCCCTTGAGACCCAAGTAGGAAATGCAGAGGCTTCCAAGAGGTGGGGAGAGCAGGAGGTGGCAAGGGTAGAATGCAGCCCTGCCACTCCAGAGGCAACTCAGTTTCTGTGTCCCCTTACAAGCTACCTAAGCTCAGGTGAAGCTTGTATAGTTTCTTCTCCCCTCTTCAGGGAGCACAAAGCTGAAATAAATCTACACTAGAAAATACTACTATTCGAAACTAACCCCGAGCCCAGAGGAATTGATAGAAATGGTCCCTTAGGCTTCAGCTATATACAGATCAGGTTTTAGGTTCATGTGAAGTGATTTTTAAATTCATTATTTCTTGTGAGAAGATGTTAAAGTTCATCTAAAAAAGAAACTCCCATATGCTCACTTCAGTGCAAAACAAACAAAAAATTACAATTTTAATATCTGACTATACACAACAGTATGAATGCAAAAATCCCCAAGCCTTCATCTGTTTCTCATTCTGAATAAAATTGATTTAAGCACATATACATAATATTGTGGTCTGAGCAATAGTAGTTGTTTCCAAGCTGTCTTAAAAAAATATGTCCTTGTCATTTTCAAGGATGAAAACTTGTCCCCTTTGAAGCTGATGAAAAATTCTTACCAGCTTCACTGGAGCAGGATTTTACTTCAGAGACAACCATCCCTATTTTAACGTTACCAATGACATACTGTAATAAAAGCAGGAATTAAATATGTACTGTGTATTTTAAACAGAGGTCCCAAAGCACTAAATAATCTTCTAAAGTGATTCCATATAAGAATAATTTTTTCTACTCAGAACAATGCAAGGACAATGTGGGTAGCAGAAGTAACTGCCCAAGAGCAAACAGCCATGCTGGTATTCACTAATTACTCTAATCACCATTATTATTAACTATTAATTTTGGCTGTATTTGCCCACAGAGCTGCTTTAATGTGGCCAGCATAGTCATAACACTTAGCTCATTTTAAGCCCCAAGGTGCCACATGGGACACAGCAGTCCCGCATCCCGACATGCCCTGCTCCGCAGAGATCTGTCTCCTTGCCGAGGCTGCTGCAGCAGCATGCTGCATCAAGCAAGCCCAAACAGGCTCTGCCAGCCTCACACTGCCACCTAAATCAGCATCCAGGATCGAATTCAATCTTCACTATTACTGTGATGTGCAGAAAACACAGTGCTGGCCAAAATAAAGGACTTCTCTGAGGTTTTCTCTCTTTTTCTTTTAGACTGGTCCTCTTTGAAAAAACAACAGTTAAACCAGTGCAATTCCTGGATTCTTTTCTCAATTATATCGTCAGCAAAGGGTCTGAAGAAGTGCAGTTTGCTCAGGAGAAGGTAAATTTTATAAAAACACTTGTTCCTAAAGCTGCATCCAACCTGGACGACCGCACTAATTTAAATACTGTTTTCTATGAGATTAATTAAATCCCTGCCAACACCCAGGGCAGACCTGCCCTAATACAGAAACACAGTTCCTGCTCGAGGCAGCCGTTAATAAAGTGCCATACACGGGAGAGAAGCGGGCTCCTTGGGCTGCACTTCGCTGTACTGCACAGGACCCAAGGGGCGCACGGCTCTGGAGCCCAAACAATTGATCCTGATACTCCCATTCGCTAGATTAAACGTAGGTCTCCAGAGGCAATGCTGGAGTCACCTCTGCCTGAACTGTAGTTAGCCCTCATCTGCCAGCAGCTGAAATAACATTTCTGAGATAGCAAGTCTGTGGTGATGCTCCTCGTTGCTGCTAAACCTTGGCTATTTGAGAAGGATATTGCACTAACGGACATACCCTCACAATTTTAAATTGTTCCTCATCCTTTCTTAACCAAAGCTTGTAATGCAGTTAGTTTGGCATGCGCTGAAAACAGAGGATTATGGAAAAGAAATGGATGAGAATAACCAGAAACTACTCCCACCAGAACTGATGTAGTCATACCCAGCTTTAAACCTGCGTCCCTCACCCTTTTATTGCCAATAAACCTATTGCACAATTTGGCATCAAACTGATGGCAATGAGGGTGTGTCTGTGCTTGAGGCTGCAGGTCAACACTGGGTGAGGAAGAGAAGCTTAAAGCTTAACCTAGAAAAGAACAGAAGGCAGAGACCTCACCAGCAGATGTGAGCGGTCAGTAAAGGCACTGTTTTTCACACATTCCTCGTTGCCTGAGGCAACTGAAAAAGCGCTGTACTTAGCAGCTACAACACAATAGAGAGTTTTCTGGGGGGAGAGGTGTGTCAATGTTGTACCTCTGCATCTACCTCTGCATCTTTCCTATTACATACATTAAGAGAACAACATATTTTGTATACGGCTGTGACTGAGGAGGAACTGCTTGTAATCGTAATCCTTTTTGTCTGCTTTTTCAGCTCTCTAAAATGGCCTGCAAATATTATTGAAAATTAACATTCCCTTCTGTACTGAATGCAATGGACGGCGCATGCAATAGCTTTTACAGTAGTTCCAAGACAGAAAAGGTAAAAAAGCACTTTAATTATAAATTATTCAGAAATACATTATATGAAATAAAATGTTAACGTGAAGAAATCAGAAGATGATGTTGCAGCATCTGACAATAAAATGATAGGGCATAAAAATAATGCACAGCTTTTGCCACCCCTCAAAAGTGAGTGGAAGTGGGGTTGGAGGAGGAAACTTGTCTAAATGAATTTGAGTGGACGGATAAAAAGCAGGAGTTCTCTTTTTCTAAGTACTTCCCAAATGAGCTCTAGGCTTAGTTACTACTGCACTCTAGAAAGTCATACAATAAGTGGGCTTTTATAAAAGTAAAAAGCTCCTGATATTAAAATATTGTGAAAAAGCTTCTGATGTCAACCGCAATAGTATATTAAATCACAAGGACTTATCCGAAGAGCTGTCTGACTTCAATGATCTTTGCATCAATCCTAAACAAGATATTTAATTCTTGAAATGGACAGAAAACATAAGCATAAAACAGGGCTTTTAAGTTTTTTACCATGACTGGGCTAGCATCCGATCCATTCCTGTCCTGCACATCCATCAGAGAACTTTCTTTCTACCTGTAAATAAAAAGCAAGATTTCAAATCAAATTTCATTAAACATACCTATGTATGGTTTTTATTAGACATACCTGCATACAGCAACACAGGAATTCTGAAGAATTAAACCAGCTAAACAAGACATTATTGCTGCAGGGATGTATGCCAGCATGTCCCTTGTCAACAATGGGAGGATTCTTCTACAAGGTTTTGGGCTTGGCACATCAGTCAGTTCATTTTACACAGTTACAGCTCTTCTTAGACCAAGTCTTACACCAGCATAAAACTGGCACACTGCACTGGGTAAATCAGGCCCAATATTTAAAATGCTAAAATCAATTCTTACCAGCCACAGAATGATTATTTTAAGTGGAAAAATGTGTATTTCGTAAGGGTTGTTTGCCACTTTTGCTCAGAATTCAGAACACAACTTCTGCGGAATAACATCCAAAGTCTCCAATAGTGGTTCAGCCAAAAGTCAGCCCTCAGAATCGGCTCAGTTCCACTTCAGGGTTTTTTTTACAATAACTAATACATCTTTCCCACTAAAGAACAGTGTCTACAAGAGGACAACCCAAAGAACAAACACTCATTGTAATTAAAGTGACTGAAAGGGAGAATGTATCTGCATCTTCAAGAAATACAGTAACTCTTCCAAAAATTGGAAGAAATTTCTTTTCTCTTCAATCCCAGCCTAGGAAGCTTTTAAATTCAACATGAAGATGTTTCCCAGTACTCATGGTCCAACTCCTTGTTGCTTGTCAAGAATCCTGGATTCAGTCACCAGCGGAATCCAGCCAAGAAGCCACCTTCAACTCCAGGCCAGGTGCTCTGCGGGTCCGAGTGACTGAGGAGCCAGGGTAGCACCACATCACAGGGAGTCAGAGCATGTTGCACAAACACCCTGCCTGGTGAATCTGCAAACCCCCAGAGAGCTACAGCTCAACACAATCCTACGCATATAAAGCTGCTAGGGGATACAAGACAGCTTATTCTTCAGGCTGTCACAGCAGGCTTTCAAGCCTTGCTCTGAACTATAATGTTGCATTATACACGTGACACAACGCTGGGCTAAGACAAAAGGGCTGAAATCATTAATGGCTTCGTTCCATAGTAAGGTAAGTGTACATGAATCACCGCTGCTGTGGTCCCAGCCTCATTTCCTCTCCTGACCACACAGCCACCAGCACTTTTCCTTGCACTGGCTGCAGACCTCATGCACCCAGGCAGCAACCTGCTTCGCTGAGTTGTTCCAGAAGAAATACTAATAAAAAAGTATATAAAATAATAAAACAGTGTTCAGTTGGATCTTCCCAATGAACTGACTTGCTGTGTCATCACATTAGCTCCTGTGCTAGCAAAAGGGCAGGGACGGAACCTGTGAGCACCACTAGATACACAAAGAGGTAAAAACGAGTCACACCCTTCCACGGAAAAAAGCAGCACCTCACCAGGTTCCATCAAAACATTCCCTAGGGACCACACAAGACAACCATGCTCGTGCAGGATCTAGTTACACAGCATTGTGTTCACAGGGGTACTCTTAGCAAAGAAGTTTCTGTGACTGCACACCAGTTTTTTCATTCCTAGTTTTATCAAAAATTTAAATCTCATCCTAATTTTGCATTTACCATTTTTTAAATTGTTATTTTTCAGTTATGCTCAAGTTTGCCATCTATTCTGTGTACTTTTCATGCCAGAATTACAAGAAGCTTTCCCAATGCTGACTTTCATATACTTATTAGGTGGAGTTTCAGTTGACCTCAAGGCAGATATACATCAGATAAGAAAACTCAGAACACAAAAGACAGGGGCAAAGCAGTTTGAACCAGAAACACAGCTGATGTATCTGGACCTTATTAAAGCATTTGATACAGCGCCTCAGAAAATTTTACTTGAAAAATTAATTCAGATTTGCTTGGATCTAAGGACTCTCACATGTTTTGAAAATTAATTGGATGCTGTAGGTTATGAAAGTGGTAATAATATTAAGTGGAAGGGCGGTGCCTGGGATAATTTGACATATATCTTTTAACAATGAACTAATTAAATAGGAAGATGACGCTAACAGTAGCAAGGGGAGGGGGGGGGGAAGGAAAACGCAAACCAAACCACCAGAAACAGACATTTAAGAATACCTGAGTAAGTAAGCTGAGACTTAGTGTAAAAAATGGAAGATGCCAGAGTTATATGAAACCAGTCCAAATTCATCAGGGATGATACACAGCACCAGGAAACCAGTAACACTGAAAAAGTCATCCAGGTGATGGACATATTAGCTCTCAGGTTGCAAACCAGTGTGGACTTTTCAAAAGGGATGACTTCTGATTCCACATGCCAAAGTAGCTGTGCCCCATGGAGAGTGACAGCAAAAGTAATTTTCTTTCTTCTTCTTGGAGACTGAACCTAGATTTTTAAGAGACTTTATATCATCTCCTAGGATAAATTCGAAAAAGGATCTGGCTCCCTGCACAAAGAATGTTCCTACTTTTCTCTCTTTGACTTTATTCCATTATTTTGGTTTATGCTAAGCTGAAAAACTTTAAGGAAGTTCACTCTTTGCTGGTTTTATTGTTCAAGGACTCATGGACAGTCTTCAGATCTGTCACCACAACTGAGCAGTATGTGCCTTTTCATCTTTCCAAGTCAGTCTTTCTAAACAACGATTTGCCCATCTTGTCTGGCTCTTCAAGAATGTGCAGGGCTCAAGACCAAAGTAAGTCCTAGCACAGGCAGAAGGGTCCAATACTGAGCGGGAGGGGGAGCTCCCCCAGCGTTTGCAGTACGCCTGGTACAGCACCATCACACGGTAGAGAGGAAGATGTCGGAGCTGAGACAGCTCTCCGACCAGAGTTGATGATCCCCAGATACAGGTTTAGCAACACGGCAGGGCAAAGCGGTGTGCCGAAACCTGGGCCTTACGTGCCTACCCCCACCCGCAAGTGCATTTGCAGAACTAAAGAGAATTAACTTTTATGGCCTTTGCCACACCTGAAGGTGATGGAGTTGCTCCAGGCTTCCCTGATGTGACAGAGGAAGATGTCATGTCGTGAAATCTATCAGACTGTTTAACATATGACACTGGAAGCTACAGACACTTTATTGTTTGGATTGTTATTCATTAAACTGGGCAAAAGCTCTCAATCTCATAGCAGTGTCAGGATGTAAATAAAAAAATCAGTAGCTCCTCCCACCTCTGTTTTCCAGAATAAAATACCTTTTGTTTTCACTGTACATAATTAAAGAAAAACATAGTGCACAAAAGGTTCTTCCCGAAGAGAAGCAAAACGTGTGTAGGCTGCGAGCGGCAGTGTACGGACCAGATGTTAACCTGCCAGCACCGGCCTTCCCACGTTAACCCCGGTTCGCCGCCTGACGGGCGCCCTGGAACCGGCACTGCTGCTGCCCGAGCACCACCGCCCGGGGAATCCTCGGGAACCCTCCAGATCAATACAGCGACCAGAAAAACGCGATTCAGGATCAAAAAGCCACCGGGCATTTTCTCCCTGCGAGCGTTTCCCAGAGTCGCCGCCGCCCGGCTGCAGGGCGGGGAACCCCGGCCGGTGCAGCGGCGGACAGGCCACGGGTGGGGCGCCCCGGCTGCA